CACCTTTATGGTTGACTATTAGTATTTTCGTATTCAATTACTTGGTTCATTGAATGTTTTTTATTTGAAACAAAATTTAATAAAATATTAATTATTGAATAAATGTTTAAATTATCATTTAGTAATATGACAAACAAATAAATTTGTGGATCAAAATTAAAATTATGAGTTTCAAATAATAACCATTAATGTTAAAAAAAATGAAATAAAAACTTGTTTATATGTTTGTTTTCTAGTTAAGGGTAAATTGCATGAAAAAATAACGTACTTTCATAACTTCCATTTTGGTACCTAAGATGTAAAGTTTTATACATTTAAATACCCGGATAATCGGTTGAAGCATTAATCGGTTACCATGTTGATGTGGCGAATGATGTGGTGTCTGGTTAATGTTTCAGCAAATAATACTGAGTTTGATACCACATCAGCATGGTAACCGGTTAATGCTTCAACTTGTTATCTGAGTACTTAAATGTTTAAAATTTCACATCTTAGGTACCAAAATAGAAGTTCTAAAAGTACGTTACCTAAAACATGGATCAAGTTAAAGTACGTTGTTTTTTCATGCAATTTGCCCTTTAATTAAATGTAAAATACGAGCAATCCTAACCGGTTCCATACGACATCCAGTCATCAAGGATTCCAGCGTGAGTGGGCTATCTAAGACTCAAACGGCAGTAAAGCACACGAAGGGGGTTGGACTCGAACCCGAGACCTACGACTTTTTTGAGCAAACATCTCCTCATCCCTTGAACCAACCTGATTGTACTCTAGAGACCACAGACTTTTTTGTCTTTTTGTTGTTGTAAATCAGTAATATTATGATTCTTTTTTCATAATGGAGCTTTTGCGTATTTGATTTGATTTATTGTTGAAAGAGATGTATAAAAAAGGCAGGAGAAAAACGGTGCATATTTTATGAAGTCCTGAATCTCTATGATATGTTACTATCCACATAATTGTTTTCGGTCTCTTTTATACGTTATAAGAAATATCAAAATCAACTTTTGTTTATGGAGTTTTTTAGACCAAATCGAATTCGATCGATTTGGAAAATGTTTCAAGACAATCAACTTTTACTGAATTTTAGATTTTGTCATCGACTTTTGAAAATCCTGAATACTTGATGTTTACATAAAATTTTGAACAAAATGTTGTGAAGGTAAAAAAAAAGCCGAATATTCATAGCAAAAACACTGTGAAGGTTACCTTCACAGTGTTCTGCTGTGAAGTTTCAAGTGTAAAAATCGTGTCTCATGAAAACACTCTTGTCTCACATAACCCAAGTCTTAGGGGTTGTTTACCAAATGCTTACCACATTCCCTTACCGGATGAATATGGCAAACACCAAGAATCTTATCTGGTAAGAGTGAAGGCAAGGACCGAGAGTCTTATTCGGTAAGTGATGGTGATGATTCTTACCACGGTTAGCACTTACCGGGTAAATTGTTACATACAATGTCGTTTTGATAGACTAAAATCTTACCTGATAAATAACGAGTAGAGTTGAATTTTACTGTTAAACGCTTATCATTTGAAAAAAAAAAGTAATATGATTAAAATAAATGGTAAGTTGGTAATATTTGTTTATTTTAGACAATCACTCTTGTTGTAGTTGATATAAAATTCATCATTTGACAAAAAAAAAATATAACTAAAAGTAAAATCACTTTATCCACACATTAAAAACTTTTTTTTTATTAACCTAGATATCTAATCCGCTATGTGAGCCGACTAATCCCAGGGTGACCACCTGCTTCGCAGGTAGCCTGGAGTCACCGCATTTGAACATCCGTGGCCACAAGAAGATTTTTATTTCTCCTTGGATTCGAACCTGAGACCTCCTGACACTTTTGATCTTTGAAGCCCAAGTTCAAACCAATCGAGCACCACCATTACGGTTTTAAAACTCTTATTGTAACTTTAGGTCATGATAATCAGTAACGGATCCAAAAAAAAATTGGTAATAAAAGTCGGAATTCAAATTTATAAGTTTTTGGAGGGTCAAAAATAGATATATATTTATAAAAAAACATAAAATATATAATATAAAAAAACCAAAATTGTAAAATTTACGGGGGTCAAGTGATTCCAACTCCTATTCATAAATCCACCGATGATTACAATCAATTTGGATCCGCTTCGATTCGTTCAATAATGGGATTCTTGGCTAGAGAAACGTTTTGCAACATGGACGCCCAGCCCAACTCGGTCGGTCGGTTGGATTTCAAAACAAACATCCCAACACCTCATTCAAGTATTATGAGCAAAACTAGTTGCCATTTTTTGTCCTAATTAAATGCAAATAAACAGCCAATTTGATCATGTAACCCCTAAAATAAATAATTTTTTTGAAAAGTTTGTTTTTTTTCTTAATAATCTTAAAACTTCAATGGCGAGAATGAAAATGAAGACAAAATTTAGTTGTCATTCTTTACGGTTAATCCATTTGGAAATAAGGATCGTGATTTGTCCCGGCCTGATGGAGAATCCAACTCACTCGATCTGAGCGGGGACGAGGATTCCCTGCTAAAACAGGTCCTAAAGCCGAGGTTCCCCGGTAGACTCAAACTGGGATTGGGGCCAGGGCCGGGTATTGAACCCCCTGACCCGCCCCATACCCGGTATATAACTTTATTAATATATTTTATATAATATATGTATATATATATATGTATATTATATTGTATATATTTTAAAAAATTAGGTCTTGACGGGGGACGAGGATCGGGGGTTTGACCGGGTTTGACTAGAAAATAAACCGGGGGCGAGCCCGAGGGCTGTTACTAAAAACCGGGGCCAGGGATTACAAAACCCGTTTCATCCCCACCCTGTTGCCATGCCTATTTGGAAACATAAATGCTCACCAAAAACCATTTTTGTTTCAGGGTAACAACTTTTAATGAAAATCCTGAACCGAAAGCATTATCAAACAACATACTTGTAATTTATCAGATAATACATAACTGTGAGATTCAAGCTATTGATTTTACGTTTAAGGAAGTTTCAATCACTTAGAACAAACTCAAACATGCAAATTTAGACGTATTTCTTTACATATTATAATAATGTTGGTCTGATTCTATTAGTTATCTTCTTACTCTTAAAAAGACGCTACCCTTTTAGTAGGATCACAGTATAATAATACGTACAACTTGCACTGAAGTGGCATAACAGATAAAATCAATGCTCCTTCCAAGAACTGTTGTTCATGAATTGAAAATATACAGTTTTCAAATGTGTAAGATATAAGTTGTTATTGTATTATTGCTTTCTCAGTTTCTCGATTATAATACTCGAGACCTATTATGGTCTGATTCAATGTCACCATGCTTTAAGGACTTGTACAACATGGAGTAAAAGTTGAACATCCTAGCACATTTGAGTTTGACCATTTTGATATATTGGACCTATAAAGGTTATAGAAATAAGAGGTGTAAATATAAAAAGTAAAAGTAGAGGGGGCAAAATGTAAATAACATGCTCCAACTCATAAAGTAATTGTGTTGACTTTAAACTTGAATTAATGAGTCAATTAGACTTGGAAAATCGTATTTATAATTACTAGAAGGATATTCGTACAATGTAATAAGATATATATCGATTTTAGTGTTTTTTTTCAGTCGATATTATAATATGGTTTTATATGGTTTTGAAAAAACGATAATGTTTTTATTTTTGAATAAAATATAAATATATCATAAAATTTGAAAAAAATATTGATATTAGTAACAAAACTAACTATTTAAATTTGTCGGAATCGAGTCGAGTCAAGCCATTTGACATCATGCTTTTTCGAGTCAAACATGTTTGTGTGTTCATAAATCATCCAAATGTCCAATTAAAATATAACACTTACCGATATCGAGCCAGTAAACGAGTTAATCAATATCAAGATCAAGGCCCATAAACGAGTTTATAAAGCTTGAATTTTAGGTATAATATATACCTCATTTGTTATACAAGCACTGAGTTGAGAACTACTTTGAAAAAGTTATTGGAGCTCCAATCGAGCTCGTGCATGATGTTACTTTCTCGAGTCGAGCTTGAACAACCTGTTATTCGACTCGACTCGACTCGTTAACACCCCTAAATAGAACCATCGGTTCAAACAAGTCACTGAAAGTCTAAAAGGGACCAAGTAGTCCACATGTCCTATTCCAAATGTCCATTTCTAGACCACACCATCTTGTAGAATAAAAAACCAAAAGCACTCGGTATATCACACAAGAAGGTTGTGTAGAGGGGTAAGATATACGCAAACCTCGTCTCTACCCTAAGGGGTTAAGAGGATGTTCCGCTGACCATCTTGTAAGATAGTTGCTACAAAGTTTTGAACAAAAGTTGGAAGCCTAGAAACCAAACCAAACCAAACGAGCCAATATATCCCACTCTGAGGTGGTGTGATCAAGAGGGGTAGGATGTATACAGATAACAGAACTGCCCTCTATACTAAAGAGTAAAGTGAGGATTGATTCAGGGACTGTTTGACAGTTGCTGAATGGTTTGGTACTGAATGATTAAGAGGCTCTTATGATATAATGCAAAATGAAATATAATTGTTTGGTAATTATTTACAACAAAATTAGGACACTGAATGGTTAAGGAAGGGCTAGGATACAAAATCATTCAGAGGGTTTTAGAACCATTAAGAGGCAGACTTTTGTTTGTCAAACAAGATTCACCTTTTAACGATTCAGAGATTGTCTCTTAATGGAACTATTAAGAGGTAAACAAACAACCCCTCAGTGACGACCCCTGACCAGTTAAAAGTGTGTGAAAGGGAGAAAAACATATATGTTAAAACTTGGGTAATGCCCCATAAACCAAACCAAACCAAACAAGCCCGATATATCCCCAAGGGGTGAGGTGGCTGAGAGGGGTAAGATGTACACAGACTCGCCTCAACCCTAAAAAGTAACAAAGCAGTTCCAATGACGACCCTGACGGGTGAAAAGTGTGTGAAAGGGAGAAAAACAGATATGTCAGGATTCGGGTAAAAGCCAGAAACCAATTAAATCTAAATTAAATGGGAAGGTATTCTTTTTGACAAAGTAGATGTTACAACAGCTTTAAATTACATGCAATATGAAATTTCAAGAACAATGAATTAAGAGAAGAAACAAGACCTCATATCCTTGGAAAAGAAGCATCTGTAATAGGTCCAATGGCAGCTCAACCATCTACAGTAGTGTTGGAATTTCATGGTCAAAATTAGGACTTTTTGAACATGTTTGTGTAACTTTCTAATAATACAAGTCTTAATAATAACCCACATAGATTATATTTTAATGGCTCCGTACGAATAGAAAAGGCTACGGTTTTTGACTTCTACGCCTCGTGTGATTTAATTTTCAACATCGGCATAAAGTCGTTTAATGATAGTCTTGGGACTGGATTTTGTTCTTGCAATAAACCATATATGCATATATACATATATACACACACTTATGCAATTACATATAGATATACATGTTATATGCAATTATGCATATGCATATAGCATCGTTTGGTAAGTCATATGCTAGATTTTTGAAATTCATGGGGTTCTTTTCACATTTTTCCAGTTATGTCCCTTGTATATTTTACATAAGTGACCAAAAACCCTAGTCTTTTAGGTCATTTTACATTACCGAACGTGACTAGTTTATCAACTTAGCTTATTAGCCAGAACTAGCTTATAAGCCAAGAGGTAGCTTATCAACTAGGTTGTCAAACATAGCCTGTGTATGTATAATATATATATATATATATATAGAGAGAGAGAGAGAGAGCAAATCATATGAAAATTGCAAATATGTCACAAGCATGCAAACCAGTTTTCATGTGAAACAAGCAGTGTTTTTAAATTATTGTTTCATATATGAAACATTCATGACAATTTTGCGTTTGAAAAAAGAACATGACAATACGTTTCATACATGAAACACAAACATACACAAAAAAATGTGAAACAATGTGAATCATAGCTTAAAATTAAACTCATTGAATGGTTTTGATTGGTTTTCACGGGTTTGTAGCATATTTTAGGTCTTCATTTTGATTTTCACTGTGTGTGTGTATGTATGTATGTATGTATATATATATATATATATATATATATATATAGAGAGAGAGAGAGAGAGAGAAAGGGAGGGAGGTTCATGGGAAACCCCAAAAAATTGAAAAACTGAGAAACATCTGGTAACCATTCATCTGGACAGTATGCATATGTGCATACAAGTGATTGAAGTTGTTTCCTGGTTTTAATGCAAGTGTGCATGTATGCACATGTGCAAATCGGACAAATTGCTTACAAATTACTTGTATGCACATATGCTTACAAATTAGAGTGTTCCTCAGTTTTTCATTTTCTTGTGGTTTTCCCATGAACCTGAACCTATATATGTGTGTGTGTGTGTAGAGGGAGATTCATCTAGGAAGGCTAAATATTTTAGGAACTCATGAACCACCCTTTTTTATGAGTATTCATGATAAATAACATGACAAAATATTCATAATGAATGTCATGTCAAACATTCATGATTAATAATATTCATCTTGAATTCTCACAAAAAGGTTGGTTCTTGGGTTCCTAAAATATTTAGCGTTCCTAAATGAACCTACCCCTAATATGTATATGTATATGTATGTACACGCATACACACATATGTTGGGAATTAGTATGTTAGGAATTAGTTTATCATAAGGTGTACGAGTATCGGTCCTTGAACAGTTTTACATAAGAAAAAAATAATTACCTGAAGTTCAAGTCATTGCCCCATAAGAACGGGAGGCTCAAACTGTAATGGCTTCACAAGCCAATTGCTAAACTGCGGGCTTTCCTTAAAAATCTTCAAGGCTGAATTATATTCTCCGGCCTTCTCCTGCAGAAAAATCAAACGAACAGAATGAGCTGCAAATCGTTGAATATTGGATTTGATCTGCTAAAGTGAACCGATAAAAAGACCTTTAGTCTCCGGTAGGAAGTTTCACTCAATGGAAAATTGGTTAAAGATCGACTCAGTGACAGAAATGATTCCAGCATTCTTTTCCTGGGTAACAGAAAAGAAACAAGGTTAGACAAATAAATGTAGGTTCCTGTTTGGTTTGCAGGATTGGATGGGATTTGGAATTAAATTCCATTCCAATCCATTGTTTGGTTGGAAGGATGAAATCCCGGGATTTTTTTTTCTATATCAAAAAAAGAAATCCCGAAGGGATGGTTGGTATTTCACGGGATTTGTATGTAATAATGTTTTAAAATATGTTAAAAACATTTATTTTATAATAATTAATTAATAGAAAAGTAATTTAATTATTTTTATAAATTATAATTATTTATAAAGAATGGAATTCAATTCCATTTCAAATCCTAAAAACCAAACACAACAAAGATTCCAGATCCTTCCACGAAATCTAGATCTCCCAAAATCATTCCATCAAACCAAACGGGCCCTAAGAGAATCGAGAAGAGCCTAAGAGGGTAAGTATTTAGGGCGTATTTGGTACAAGAACAAGACTGGACGGACGAGAGTGAGGTAGGCGTATGAAAGAATTATGGAAGGTTTTCGGGTTTTAATTTGATATGGGTAGTTTAGTAATTTACCAATCTTATCTCGTCACCCTTATATTTGGTGGAACAAAAAGAAATATCATGTTTTTCCCACTTAGTCCTGTCCTGTCCCAGTCTAAAGTCGCACCAAACGTGAAATAACAAATTTTGTCTTGTCTTGTCTCATCCTGTCCTGCATACCAAATGCACAACTTTGAATAATATTCCCTCCTCCATCAAAAAAATTGCAACATCTTCCATTTTGGGGCCGTTTCAGGTTAAAATTACCTATTTCCACAAGTAAAACATCACAATAATCTTGGGATGGTGGGAATACAATATGGGTAATCTACACTCAAATTCATGGCCAACTCAACCGACAACAAAAGCTAGGCCTTGGCG